TTAATTTGGTAAACTAGTGATTGGAAGTGATTTAGAGATTGAAAAGATACGAGAGACTGAAGGAGCAAATATGCCAGGTCTAGTTGTGTAAAATGGTGAACAGAAGTGATCGGTGGAAAGATAAGAAAGAGAAATTAGCATATTGTGATACTAAAGTAAAAAATGAATCAAATGGTAGTTGATGTGATATGTTTTGAGTGAAATAATGATAGGTTGGTGTTGATATCTGAAAAAACATATGAGACTCAATCGTGTGTATGTTGAAGTTTTAAATCGCTGAGTGGAAATTATTCCAAGAAAACGTTGAACAATCACACATAACCTTACTTTTGTGGCAGAATTATAGATGTCGGTCATGTGATATGCCCGTAGAAGCTCACGTGCAGTGCTATACTCACCGACAAGGTAGCCTCACAATCTCAGTAAAGAAACTGGCAGAGATTCTTTTACCTGGCGAGAAGTATGGGAAGATTTGGATGTGGCACCGTTGCCTGAAATGTCCGAGAGCCAATGGCTTCCCACCTGCAACACGGAGGGTTGTGATGTCTGATGCCGCTTGGGGATTATCTTTTGGAAAGTTTTTGGAGCTAAGCTTTTCAAACCATGCTGCTGCTAGCCGAGTGGCAAGCTGTGGCCATTCTTTACATAGAGACTGTCTTCGATTTTACGGGTATAAATTTCTCTTGATATGTTTTTTGCCAATATTTTTTGTAAATTTGCGTGGAAATTTATGGTGTATTCATCGCTATGTATGGTGTAGATGTGATCTTTATTTTTGCTAATGGCGAGCTATTTTCTTGGCTTCCTATGGATGTTCTGCTTTTTGATGAATCTGATGGATGGCTTGAGATATATCTAAATAGATCATGCTGGATCTAAATTTGGATTATTACTTGGCCTCTGTTGGGTAAAAATGCACTGTTTCAGCCTATGTAATTTGTTGTGTATGGTTTATAATGTGTTGTGTATGCAGATATGGAAAAATGGTTGCCTGCTTTCGTTATGCCTCAATTGATCTTCATTCAGTCTATTTGCCTCTTCCAAAACTTGATTTCAACTATGAAAGACAAGCTTGGATAGAAAAAGAACTAAACGAGGTGAAATGAGTATGCTTATTGTTTCTTTTTCTTTTCTTTATGTTTTGAAGAAAAAATATTCATTTCTATCTTCTAGGTATGTCGAATACCCCTTAATTTGTCTACCTAATCTAACAGGTTTCTGGTTGGTCTAGACTTTTGTTCTCTGAAGTACATAATGCCCTTCGTCTTCTGGTGGAAAGAAAATCTGATTCAGATTTACTTACTAATAGCGTTAAAGTTCCTGAATCGAGACGCCATCTAGCAGATCTGCAGGGGATTTTGCAGAAAGAGAAGTCGGAATTCGAGGTCTGGTACCATATTTATCTATTTTTTCAGTTGACCTGTATATACTAAAAGCTATGCAGCAAAATTGTTGACTATATATCTCACCCTGATGTATAAGTTTGACAGCTAGGTCTAAATAGGTATTGGTAAATCTTTCAGGAATCGCTCTGGAAAATTGCGAACAGGGACCCTGGAAAAGCCCAACTGACCAATGATATTGCCCACGAACCCAGAAAATCCCAACCAGCAGTTGATATTCTCGAACTCAATCGCCTCCGAAGACAACTCCTTGTCCAGTCTTACATGTGGGACCACCGCCTAATATATGCCGATAGTTTAGATAACAAGACCCAGCTTACCGACATAGAGCCCACCTCTTCGGAATTTATTCACAAACCCATTTCTGATCTCGAGAATTCTCCTCATGTAACTTCCCCAGTAAAAACGAATGAAACACAAAACAGTTCTTTTGCTCCGGCTTTGGACATAAAGCCCGACAAAAGCCCCGAATCTCATTCCGAGTTACATACTCAAAGAACTGAGTCCCTTTTTAACTCCGATCCTGGGGATGAAAGTTCACTCCCGATTTCTATTGAAAACACTGTCACAGGTGAATATAATCGTGAAAGTTCTAACCCTAACCCTAACCCTACCCACCGCAGAGTTCTATCCGAAGGACAAGCCCCGATGTGTTTATCAGATACTTTAGACGCAGCATGGACGGGTGAAAATCACCTAGGTGCTGGACCCATTAAGTACAGTAGCAGTAACAATAATTTATCTGAATCCATGGAGGCCGATAATTTACCCGCACCCGAAAAAAAGCTGGATTCGGAAAACCAAAAGGAGGATCCAAGCACGTCCGCCAAGGTTTCTCGTTCGCCCTCGTTTTTGTCCTCAAAGGGTTCCGAAAGCATGGAGGAAGCAGTGGGCTGGCTGGGCATGTCATTCATGAGCTTCTACCGCTCCTTAAACAAAAATTTCCTGGGGACTACCGAAAAACTGGACACACTCAGCGAGTATGTCCCTGTCTACATCTCCTCCTTCCGAGAGTCGGAGATTCGAGGCGGGGCCCGCTTGCTCCTCCCTATTGGGATCAACGACACTGTCATCCCAATATACGACGACGAGCCCACGAGCATCATATCATACGCCCTCCTCTCGCCCGACTACCTCGTCCAGCTGTTGGACGAGCCCGAGAAGCCAAAGGACATGGCTGACTCGATTTTCTACATGCAATCCCTTGACCCTGCGAACTTCCACTCGTTTCATTCTATGGATGAGACATTGCTGGACTCGTACAGAAGTTTTGGTTCGGGTGATGAAATTACCGGCCTGCCCTCGTCGGCCTTGTCCCGTAGCTCGTTGCCCTTGGACCCGCTCTTGTACACCAAGGCGCTGCACGCGAGGGTGTCCTTCGCGGACGATGGACCCCACGGGAAGGTAAAGTATGGGGTGACTTGTTACTATGCCAAGCGTTTCGAGGCGTTGAGGAGGTTGTGCTGCACGTCGGAGATCGATTTCGTGAGGTCACTTAGCCGCTGCAAGAAGTGGGGGGCGCAGGGTGGGAAGAGTAATGTGTTCTTTGCAAAGACGTTGGACGAGAGGTTTATAATCAAGCAGGTGACGAAGACTGAGCTGGAGTCGTTTATCAAGTTTGCGCCTGGGTACTTTAAGTATCTGTCGGAGTCCATCGGGTCAAGAAGCCCGACTTGTTTGGCGAAGATTCTTGGGATCTATCAGGTACCCATATTGTTTTACCAACTGCTGAATTCTTGCTGTTTGGGAGAAGTTTGTTTTTGTTGTTTGCCATGAGTGAGGTGAGCAACTTAATTCTTTTGTTACTTGTGTTATCAAGTGGAGATGCTTTCTTCCAAATTTATATATTATGTAATATTGTTATTTGGGAAAATTTCACGCTCTACTGTTGAAATTCNAAAAAGTTGTTATTAAAGTATCACTTGCCATTTATTTCCCCATTTAACAAAATGCATAATTGGATTTTGTTTTTTCTAAACAAATGCATATCTTGAGTAAGTTTTCATATTACTACAACAACATGTATGTAATTTTGAAGAAAGCTTGATTTATAAGTTTTCTATTTTGTTATTTTATTTATTATAAAGAATTTAGCTAATCCCCAAGTAAACTTTTGTAAAATAACCTAAATATGTATAACCTAAAGTAGTTTATCGATAGCTGCATATCAAAGTTCTTAGACTTGAGAGTATACGCAGTTATGCTTTATGTTAGTTTTCTTTCAAACTCCAATTTCCATATTCCTTTTGGATGGCTTTACATTGTTTGCATGCCACAAGACAATGGATACAATCTAGCAGAAAACTAAATCAAAACATTTTTAGCGTGGCATAATATTCAGGAACACCGCAGTTGATTTTCTTGTTTTCTGCTGCAAGGTTACCACCAAACATCTAAAAGGTGGGAAGGAATCGAAAATGGATGTGCTGGTTATGGAGAATCTTCTGTTCCGCAGAAATGTGACACGTCTCTATGATCTTAAAGGTTCCTCTAGATCACGGTATAATCCTGATTCTTCCGGAAGTAACAAGGTCTTGCTGGATCAGAACTTGATTGAAGCAATGCCTACTTCTCCAATTTTTGTTGGAAATAAAGCCAAAAGATTATTAGAAAGAGCTGTCTGGAATGACACTGCTTTTCTCGCTGTAAGTCTGCATGATCTACCGTTGTTGAATACTTGTTTCGATTCATCTTAATTCTGTGATACATGTGTGTTTCTCATCGTTTCAATTTTGTGTATTAGAATAATTACAAGCATTACTTACCATTGAGTTAAAAATAACCCATTCACATTTGTTTTAATTTCTTGTTCCCTTGTGGGTAATTTTGCATAAGATTAAGTGGGGATAGCTTTGCAAATCGAACACTTCTTGAAATGGGCATAGAAAATTGAAAACATATATGTTTTTATTTATTATTTGTTTGAAGTAGTTAGACGCAGGCTTACGCACCATACCCCATGAAATAGCATTTGATTGTATTGATGGGAATCTCTGTTGCAGTCAATAGATGTCATGGATTATTCGCTATTGGTTGGAGTTGACGAAGAGAAGCACGAGCTTGTTCTTGGGATTATTGACTTCATGAGGCAATACACATGGGACAAGCATCTCGAGACTTGGGTTAAGGCGTCGGGCATTCTTGGTGGACCCAAAAATGCTTCGCCAACTGTAATATCTCCCAAACAGTACAAGAGAAGATTCAGAAAAGCCATGACAACCTATTTTTTGATGGTTCCTGATCAGTGGTTACCTCCTACTATAGTTCCTAGTAAATCACAGACTGATCTGAATGAAGAGAAATATGGGCAAGATGCAAATCCAGCTGAGATCAGGTCGGGTTAGATGCATTTATAGATAAAGCTATTTTTCGGATTCATTTTGCTTTTTCATGAAGCTCCATCATTTAGACTCTAGGACTCATAAGTATTGGTAGAAGTACAAAAATAGGAGGGAGATGAAAAAACAAAAAAGCAAANTTTTGTTGTCAATACGCTCTATAGCTTGTTTCTTCTTAGAATTATTCTTTTTTTATTTTTTCAAGTTAATGTAATGTGTAACCTCATGTAAAGTAGTTGAGTCGATGTAAAAATAGAACGATCTTATTAGATTGTAAAGTAGTTGGGTCAATTTTAAAACTATAACAATGTTATTGGAAATAGGAAATTGAATTTTTGAAATGCTTTCTCTTTCTTGAGAATTACTTTTGAGTTTTGATATGATATCCTCGTCTTGTAACTTTTGTTGAAATATGTTTAATTGGGAACGTTGATATGCTATGCGACAAGATATGCGGAAAAATGAAGTTGTAGTGTTGACAGTGAGTTCACGTATAAACTCAGAAATTTTTAATCATAAGATTAGAACTCAAATGTGTTAAACCAGATCAATGTTACAACTTACAACACCCAACATTAGGAAAAAAAAAAAATGAAAAAAAAAAGAAAAGGTATTGACAAAATTAAGTCGAGTCAAATTTCACAGTTGTAGCCGGCAACCACGATCGACCCTCGATAAAGGAGTCCACATTATACTTGGAGGCCTCGCTCGCCGTCATGCTGGCCTTGTATCCGGCCCACGAAACCCGATTGGCCGTGTTTGCCCCGAGACCAGTGTTCCTATACTCACCGTAAAAAATCGAGCTAGGCGGATCCACATTCGAAACCCACGAAATCCAACCTCTCGGATTCAAGAACCCACCAATGCTCGTTTCCATTATAACTGTAGTCGAGTAATCCTTCCATGGCCGGCCCAGATAAGTCGGGGCCGAGAGATTGTCCAACGGGCTAATCGCGCACCTTTGGATCGAAATCCCCGTGTTTTGATTCGGGTCCTTCTTCCCTTGGGCCGTGATCGTCACGAATTGGTTAGTCAAAGGTTGTCTCGGCAAGATGTTGCAGTTTTGGAAAACGACAGCCGAGTTGCCGAAAATGAAGTCGATTGTGCCGGTTATGTCGCATTCTCGGTAAAATTGACGGTTGGAGTGAGCGTAGAGCGTGTCTTGGAAGGCGTCGAAAGTGCACCGGTAGAAAACAGACTGGTCGGAGCCCGAACGGAAGGCCACCGCTTGGTGCTTGTTGGGGCCGGCAGTGTTTTTGAACCCTATGTCACGTGCGATGAACCCTCTCCCGGCAACGGCTGGTGAATTAGAGATAGAGTAGAATGTGATCAGTCTAAAATTAATATTAGAGTAAGTTGTAATTTTAGTCTTGTATGTTTTACAACCCTAAATTTTTTGTTCCCATTGATTCTTATTTTTCGTGTATGATGTTTTTGCAAAAAAGTTACAAAAAGGTCCCTGAGCATATATAAGGGACGGAATTGCAACTTGTTTTTGCGAAATATAAGGGACCTTTTTGTTGCGAAAAGAAATTTTTTGTAACCTTTCTGCAAACCTAAGGAACGAAAATCATAAAAGTAATTCGAATAAGATGAAAAAGTTAGTATAGTGAAACGTACATAACTAAAATTATAATTTACTCTTAATATTATGATATAGTAAGTAATGACTAGCTAGAGTTAAGTTGACATGATCTTATTATATCATCTTAATTGATTAGTTAATTGATTGGGTCAATTAATGTCTAACCAACATGCCTCCCATGTTGTTATACAAAACCTTCTTCTTATTCACAATAATTAAATCGAATTAATTATTGATGCTATATATTAGCAAGTCTCTGACTCGGTAATTCATTTGGATTTAGTATCTTATTTTATTAACAAGTTGTATCATTAAGAAAGTATCATGTCCATACAACAAATTCATTTGGAGTATTTTGATTGTGATAAGACGTGGTCCTAAAGTTCACATGGTGGGATCTAAAGTTTTTTGTTTTTTAGCAATAGAACATGAGCAACTGTTGTTGTGCAATTTAATTAAGCAAAGCACCAAATCACATGGGAATGTCAGGGCAATGTTCTGCTAGTTCACGAGTCACCAGATAAACGGACGAATTTTCACTTTTAAATGCCAAATTCCGCCAAACACATCACAGCATAACTTTATTTAAATTAGTAAGATGTTCATAACACCTTAAATGTTTCGGGTCGGGACTCGGGATAGGTGGGTTCAAGCCAAATTGTAGCCCGTAGTCAGGCACTTAATAGATGTGTAAAATTTTTATAAATAAATACTCGTTTTTATTATAAAATTATGATGAACTAACTAAGCTAACAATTAAACTTTTGTGTATAAGCTTCAAAACTTGGCAATAACTAAGCTAACAATTAAACTTTTGTGTATAAGCTTCAAAACTTGGCAATTTATAGTATTGGGATTTTAAGTGGGAGTTTCCATTTCATTCTCCTTTAACCCTTTTTTTTTTCTAGCAAGTAAATTTTGTGCATCAAAATAACTTTTCAGTTTTCCGACACATGTGTTAAAAATTATCAATTGTCAACAAACTAGCATTTAAAGGCGCAGTAAATAAAAAAATTGAACTCACCAAAGGTGGCCGTGGAGAAGGTGGGAGTCCCGTCCACGAAGTTCTTGCTGCCGGAGATAATGGTAGCGTTTTTACCGTCGCCGTAAATCATGACGTTCCAGCACGACTTGTCAAGTACCACATTCTCCACGTAAACTCCGGCCTTCACGTATATCACGAACCTCGCCTTGCTCTTCTTCGGTATCCTCTCCACCGCCTCCCCCACCGTCCTCACGTCGCCACTCCCGTCCGCCGCCACCGTCACGTCCGGCCTCACCGCCGCCTGCTGCAGCAGCCTCCGATCCACCCACGCCGGCATATCCATCTCCGGCGGCGCCACCCCCAGCATCCTCCGCCGCCGGTGGATCGGGACGTCGATGGCCCCGATTATCCTCGATACGATGGCCAGGCTGTTGCTCGCGAGCTCCGTCGAGTTCCTCATCAGGACCTCCGCCTCGCCGGCGAACGCCGCGCCCGCCTCGCGGAGGGAGTCCGCGCACGTCTCCTGGTCGGTGACCGCCGTGCTCAGCCACGTCTTCAGGTCCTCGATCCCGCCGCCGCCACCGCGCGCGGCGGCGATCGAGTCGTTGAGGTGGTCGACGGCGTCGCTCAGCACCGTCCCGCAGACGCTCAGCGCCTCCCTCACCCGCGGGTCGTCGGTCCTCGCGGCGTACTCGCCGGGAAATTCGGATATTTTCTGCAGAGAATTTAGGACCACCGTCAGCGAGAGCTCGAAGATTTTCTCCGGGTTGGTGGAGTTTGCCGAGCTCAGGGTCGAGAGGCACGAGCTCTGGTAACGGGTGGCGCTGCAGATGGATCTCACGGCCGCCGCCGTTGCCCGGGACGCCGGAGATTCGCCGGGATCTGAGGTTTTCTTGTTGCGGGAGACTGTTCCGGCGACGACGCCGATGATGAGGGCGAGGAGGAGGACGGATGAGATGGAGAGGATGATAATGCGTTTTCTGGTTTTTCGCCGGAAAGCGGCTTGCTCGACCTCGTCGACTTTGCCGTAGCCTTTGAATGATCGGACGGTGTCCATTGCCGGCGGCTGAAAATACTATGAATTTTTATTAGATTGATTTTTATTTATATACTTATTTATTTTTTTTGTTCGGTTTGTTTTTGCCTTTGGGCTGGGTGAAGATTTTTATTGTGTTTTTATTTATAGAAGTTTGTGTGAATGGTGAAGTAGTGCTCATCATTTTTATGTAATATATTTGTTGGATGAGTGGAGATGTGTATCGGATTAGATTGGACAGAATCTTAATGATAAATTCTATTTTAATTGTGTTTTTTATAATTACAAGAAACAGGGAGGAAATAATAATCTGTTAATACTTCAGAAATTCAGGGGGCATGTGATTGGTTTTACAATTATCTGATTACTAAATTGTTTTTGATATATTTTAAATCTTGACTTATTATAGTTAAAAAATTTCTCTTATGTCGGCGATCCCTGAAGAAGAATTGAATCCAGGCCCGGACCCTAACGGCGTCGCCGCTAAGTCGGCCATGTCCGTCCGTCCTAGCGCTTCTTCTGAGAACCCCGATGTTGGAATGTTGACAGAAAATCATCCCCCGGGGACAGAAGAGGAATTCCCGGCTTTGAATAAAGGAACGGTTCCTCCGCTGGTCAATGGTCGTTACTCAAAACGTAGGCGCCCTCCAGATTCTGGGTCTTCGGGTGGAGAGAAGGAGACCCCCGGTGAGAAAACAAGTTCGCCTACTCAAACCGCAGGGCACCAACAACCAATGGCCACCCCTAAACCCTTAAGTTTTCGGGATATGGTAAGTAAAACCGGACCTCATGTGATCGTTGAACCTGAGCCGGAGGAGAAGGCAGGGATTGATGAGGACATATCGGTGGACTTCACGAGTTCGGTGGCCGACGTTCGTATTAAGACGAGGTTTTACGATCTAATAGCTAATGATTGGAAGGATGTTGTGGTGGTTAAACCCATGGATACTTCTCTATCCCACGCGGTACTGTATAATCGATTGACGAAAATGTGGCCACACATGGTGGGGTGCAAGATGATGGATTTGGAGAACGGTTTTTACTTGGTCCTTACGTGGTGGGTAGTGGTTATCTTCATGTGCAACCATGGTCTCTGGAGTTTGATGAGAACAAATCGAAGCTGGATAAGGTGGTGGCTTGGATTCGGCTCCCGGGGATGCCGGTTCACTTATACCACAAAAGGGTGTTTCGGAAAATTGGGAAAATCGTGGGACAGGTGGTTAAGATTGATTACCAAACGGCGTCTCTTACGAGAGGCAAATATGCACGCCTTGCGGTGCTGGTTGACTTGACCAAGCCGTTGTGCGGGCACTTCACGATTGGTGGTAAGATGCAACGTGTGGAGTACGAAAACATGCCATGTATATGCTTCCATTGCGGTAAGTACGGCCATGAGGCTTCTTCGTGTCTGGATAGGAAAGATGTAAATGATGGAACCCCCAATGTAGAGGGTACAGCACCCTTGGCTACGCCGTCACACGCTGTAACACCCCGTTTTATTTTAAAGAATTTGCCGAATTTATTTAATGAAAATCAGAGTATATATTTTTTGTAAAAATCCAAGTTAAAACATTTATCGAGAAACGTGCGCTACTTACTAATCACAACAAACAAATAAAAGCACCAAATCAATCAATCATTAGAACCTACACATGCTCGAGCTATCAAAATAACAATATTAATAATCATAAATTTCAAAACCATTCCCAAATGACTAGCATGAAAGCAAGGTACAAACGAAATTCAACATAGTTCGAAAATAACGAAAAAAATAATCCAAAGTACGATAGCAAATAAATAAATATCAAGTTTATGCGGAAGCACAGGTTTCAACACATAATGACCACCATCTCGCTCGTCCTACGCCACCGCCTCCAGCTCGTCTCAACCTAGAACAAAGGAAGAGAGAAGACAGCAAGAAAATAATGGGGGTGAGCATAACCAACAAGCTCACCATTATCGCACAGTATATCTCGCATAACATTTTAAACCATCGGAACCATAGTATTCAGTATGCATAGAATCCAACAGTCTAACTCCCTACTTGGCCCTATCGCAAACCTCCTATGTACATACAACAACCTTCCGATCACACACGGCAAGGAAGTAACTGGAAACCTTCCCATCACCGAATGGCTACGGGCCTGGGATCCTTTCCAGGAGACAGTAGAGATGTTTTTCCCATTCACGAATATCATACGGACCTGGGCGTCACCTCTCCGAATCTACGGGCCGATGACCTCTCACTGTTTATGCATTCCTCAAAGGCACTTACATACGGGACACTTAGACTAGGGTTCTCACGCATACATCATTTTTCAAAACAAAGCATTTATACGAAATATTAAGTGCGATAAATATGGATACATCATAAATGTACCCACCTGTTCAGTTTGCCAAATTTATCACAATTATGGCTGTAGGTTGGCTGAGGCTCGACTCCTCAATTACCTACAATTTATCCAAGATAATATTTCAAAAATACTTATCTTGAAAATCGGGAATTCAAACGAGAATTCATACTTAGTCGAAAAATCACCGACTAAGTAGCTCGTGGAATTTTTGTGGAACTTGGAACTCTCGGATTTAAGGGAAAGACTAAGAAAAATATTTTTTTTTTTAAAAAAAAAACCTTAAAACGGAATCGACACGAAAAACGGAGCTAACGGTTCAAAAATTGGTCAAACAGGAGAAGAACAAATTTGGGTTCGGTTTGAAACATGGAGTACCCAGGGATTTCAATAATTCTAAAGGTTCCCAAGACAACACTAACACATTTCAACAAGTTCCCTATGTAAACAAACTCATGTTTAATTAACAACCTGTTACATGAACTCTTGAATTTCATAACACAAATACCAGATAACTCCAAACATATATCGCTAAGAGAAAACTTGGAACCCCCCTCATTCACACATAAACGCAAGTAAGAAATATGAGATAAAAATGAATATGGCTAATCACAATGTATGATCAAAAGGAATTGTCATATGAGGTGCACATGATCCAGTAATAATTTTGTTCAAACTCATTTAGATATAGGTTCACAGTAACAAGAAAATATAAGACTAAAATAGCAAACAACCTTCACAAACAATGACTACAAAATCATGTATACAACTTTTCTACTAAACAAAATAAATAAATAATTAAATAAACAAATAAACTAAGTACATATAGTTCACATGCACTACAAATTAAATATCCATAGAATTAACTAGTATCAAATTTCACAAGAAGATCAGCAAAACGTGAAATATATCCAAACATTTTCTAACTTAATAATACTTAGCCAAACAATTAAATTCAATAGGAGTATGACAACAACAGGTTCTTGAATATTCGTATGCATACATTTTCTAATATACGAGAATGCTAAACACAAACTCATACTAATAAACAACTCATACAACCAGATAATGGCACGAAATCGACAATTCAAAACTCAATAAGTCTACTATATCAAATCGAGTCCAATTAAAGGTAAAGAAAGAATCATCAAATAATCTCGAGTATCCTGAAACGTATAAATTCCAAAACAAACCCTTAAATGAAGCATGAAATTTCGAGCAACATAAGCTTAAACTGGCTAAACCCACGAGTCCGACTCAGGAACAAAACGAAAATAGAAAAGAGAAACCACATTAACTCAAGGCTCATCCTACCCGGATTCTTAACTAAAATTTAATAAATCTCTTGAAGTTTGAAACTTAAACGAATGTCAACAATACGAGACGAGGGCTTGGATAACCAATCGAGGCTCAAAATTATACGGTATAATCTCAGCGATTAGAGGCTCGATTTTTTTTTTTCAAAGTCGAGAGTTCCGAATATCCACATCAATTCACGAAATCACAACACAACAAACGAAACGAATTTACGAACAGATTTATAAACAAGCGACAAAAATTGATTCACCGAAATGATAACATCAACGAAATGACACACGCGCACAAACAAAATATAACGAGTGGATTCGCTAATATAGCATACTTCACGGAATCTACAAGCAAATTGGATGAATCGGGGGAAACGACGCGGCTCTGCTGTGGGCTGGCCGTGGACGGGGCTGGTGTCTCGGTGATGGCCGGCGAGAAAGTTGCTGAGGAGTGGTGACCGGAGATGATGGTGATGAGGGGCGGCGGGAAGAACAGAGCGAGAGAGAGACAATGAGTTTCTCTTCTCTGTTCGCGATCGAGGAGAGGGACGAGATATAGAGAGGAATCAGATTTAAAAGAAGGCAAAAAAAAGAAGGAAAAAAAAAAAAAACTGCACGTGTGCTATCTTGAGAGAATGAGGGGACGATTTGGATTAAAAAGGCTTAAGGTTAATTAAGTTTTCTTAGCCCTCAAGACACACACTCACATATTGGGCGAACCGGGTTTTGGGCCGCTGGGCCGGTTTGCGACATTTAAATCGGCTCACGGGCTCGATTTCGGTTCAAACGAATATTCTCGGTCCCAACTTCGATTTATTTTGTCAAAATAAAATGGCTCGATTCGCGCGAATATTCTCGGGCTCGGTATAAAATCAAACGCACGGTAAAATAAGCCGAATAATAAATATATTTTACATATATATCAATACATATTTACACATTATAAATAATAAACATAAATCATTTAGACATTTAGACAATTAGCATTTAATCACAATTAGGCAAATAATATTTAGACATTCATAAATAATATAATGTAAATATTATCACGAAAATAATAATCATTCCATAATTAATAATAATAATTACAATAAAAATTTTCAAATAATCCACAAATAAACGGGGCACTACACACGCGGCTGGTGGTCAGGACGGTAAGACGAGCGGCTCGAAGTTGACTGAGGGGGAGGGAGCGTTATATGGGCCGTGGATGCAAGTGCCTCAGAGAGCTAGGAAATCAATGGGTTGTCGGGAACACAATGTAATGGATGGGGGGCCAGCCCCATATAATTATGCCAATAGGTTTCACTCGCTGAACTCGTCAGAGGACGTTAACACAGGAACTGATGTTAGTCTTGGGACGGGCGTGGATAGTGGAGATCACCGATTGAAGGGGACTACGCCTAGTGTGGAGCCGAAGGAATGGCGCCGTGCAGGGGGGTCTAAGGGTAAGACTAACGCACATGGTCGTTCACAGACGGCAACCCGGAATTTGGCAGAGGGGGTGTTCAAGGCTACACCAATGGACAAGGGCAAGGGGGTGGATGGAGGCTTTGAAAAAGGCGACCGGGGACATGTGGTAGATCGGAGTGAATCTTCTCGGATCGGGACTGAGGGTCGGGAGAAGCGTGCATCAGTTTCAATTCCATCAAGCATCTCGGTTGGTTCCGGCTTGGACACTAATAAACATCGAGTGGTTCAGATAGTTGATGATCATCCTATGGAGTTTAGTCAGGAGCTTGTCGAAGGGCCGGTGGAGGAGCTAGATGACATGTTGGAAGACAATGTGTCTACGCCCGCCGGCAGACCGAGGCCATGGCCTGAGGAGGTTGACCTGCAGAGGAGGGGGTTGGTGCCACCGTCAGGATTTGATGACGAAGATATGCACACCATGGCCATGGAGGGCCAGGAACGGTCCTGAGGATATTTATCGCCATTTCCATGTGTAGTTTCCTAATGAAGATGCTAGTATGGAATGTTCAGGGGGCGGCTTCTGTATCTTTTCGGCTTGCCTTTCTCTCTCTTGTTCAACAACACAAACCGGATGTGGTTGCATTATTAGAGCCACGTATTAGTGGTTCTGGAGCTGATGATTTTATCAGAAGAAGTCGGTTCGATTACTCATTTCGTGTGGAGGCTCGGGGTTTCTCTGGGGGCATTTGGCTACTCTGGCATGAGGGGGTCGAAGTGCGCATTTTGAGTTGTGGACGTCAGTTTATTCATGCTCGGGTGACCAAGGGCCAGGAGTCATGCATTACCACGTTTGTTTACGCTTCGCCAAATCCTGTGTTGCGCCATCGTTTGTGGATAGATTTGGATAGACTGGCGGCTCAGACTCGAGGGCCGTGGGCTATTGGTGGTGATTTTAATTGTCTATTGCGGCGGTCGGAGAAAATTGGGGGGTCGCCCGACAGGTGTAATATTAGTGGGGAGTTTAAGGACTGGATAATTAATAATCATTTGTGCGAGATTAATGCGCTAGACAATAGGTTTACTTGGACTCAGGGTAATGTCTCGGAGAAGCTTGATAGGTTCATTGTTAATACGGCATGGATGGACACTTTCGCAGAGGGTCGAATGCTATATTTACCACGTATACAGTCGGATCACTCGCCCATTCAGCTAAGCTTTGGTCATCTATCGTTTGGCCCGGGAGGCAGAAAACCATTTCGGTTCGTGGCTGCTTGGCTGCTCCATCGAGATTTTCCTCGGCTCCTGGAGGAGGTATGGCGACCCGGGATATCCTTCATGGAGGCTGCTTCTCACTTTGCCATGCGGGCCAAACAGTGGAATTATGACACTTTTGGAAATATTTTCCAACGGAAAAAGAGGCTGTTGGCTAGGATTGCTGGAATCCAGAAGTCATATCGCTACTACTTCAAGGAGAGCTTGGTCTACTTGGAGAAGACTTTGCGTCGTGAACTAGATGAGGTGTTGTTGCAAGAGGAGATTTTACTTATTCAGAAATCTACGAGAGACTGGGCCTTGTTTGGGGATAGAAATACAACATTTTACCACCGTCATGTGCGAGTTCGTAGAGCCCGTAACCGTGTTATCTCACTATTGGATGTTGATGGGAACTCGGTGGACGACCCAGTGCGTTTGAGGCACATGGCCATCTCGTATTTCCAGTCCATCTTTTCGGCGGATTTAGCACCGTTACCTGCCTGGGAGGTTCATAATTATTTCCCCTCCCTAGGACCGGAAAGGTTTGCGTCCATGGCTCGGGAGATAGAGGAGAGTGAAGTGGTGGCTGCCTTGAAGCTCATGGAACCTCTCAAGGCACCAGGAAGTGATGGCCTAAATGCGCTTTTCTTCCAAAAGAATTGGAAGACCGTCGGGGAGTCCGTGCGGGCCCTGTTCTGTCGTATATGGGAGGGGGAGCCGTTACCTCCGGAGTTAAATACTTCCTTGCTGGTCCTTATTCCCAAGGTGGTCTCTCCGTCTACGATACAGCAGTTTCGACCGATTAGTCTCCTTAACGTGGCTTACAAGTTATTTACAAAGGTGTTGGTGTCTAGAATGAAGACGGTCCTCCCTGATCTCATTCATCCAGCACAAGCCTCCTTTGTGCCAGGCCGCCATATTACGGATAATATAATTGTAGCCCAGGAGCTTATACACTCGATGAGGATGCGCCGGACAGGGCAGGGGCACATGGTCATCAAAGTGGACCTTCAGAAGGCATATGACTTCTTACGTTGGGACTTCATTGTCGAAACACTTCGTTTGGCGGGCTTCCCAAATAAATTAGTGCGGGCCATCATGTCATGCGTGACCTCTAGTTCGATGAATTTACTTTGGAATGGCGAGGTGTGTGAGGAGTTTGCACCAACCAGAGGAGTCCGTCAAGGTGATCCGATCTCGCCGTATCTTTTTGTACTTTGTATGGAACGTCTTGCTCAGCAAATTAGTTTTTCGGTTGACAGTGGAGAGTGGAAACCGATTTCAGTGGGCCGAGGGTCAGTGACTGTCCCTTTTCTTATGTTTGCTGACGACTTGTTGTTGTTCCTGGAAGCGTCTACGGGTCAGGCCGAGATTTTACATAATGTTCTGGACAAGTTCTGTATGGCATCGGGCCTGAAAGTGAGCTCGTCTAAAACACATGTATTTTTCTCCTCCTCGGTGGCCGAAGCACAGCGGCGGGACATTGCTTTGAGGCTGGGATATGCACGAGCTGATGACTTGGGTAATTATTTGGGAATGCCGTTGATTCATAGGCGGGTCACTAAGGCGACTTATGCGGGGATCCTGGAGAAAGCCGAACACCGACTAGCTGGATGGAAGGCTGCGTCTCTCTCAGCGGCGGGGAGAGTAACTTTAACAAAGTCGGTTATTTGCTCTCTTCCGTACTATGCCATGCAAACTGCTGCTTTACCGATGGCCATTTGTGATAAGCTCGATCAACACGTCCGGTCATTTATTTGGGGTGGCTCGTCGGACCAACGCAAACCACATTTGGTGTCATGGTCGGACATTTGTCAACCGAAAGATTGTGGCGGGCTGGGTATTAAACAGTCGAGAGTAATGAATGAGGCACTTTTAATGAAACTCGGGTGGTCTCTGCTCACCCAGCCAAACAAGTTGTGGGTTCGAGTGATGCGTGCTAAGTATAAAATGCGACCGAATGAGATGTCTGCTGACTTCATATTTCCTAAGGGGTCAGTGTGTCTAAAAGCCATAGCGAAAGTTTGGTCACACGTCCGGCGAGGTACAAGGTGGGCTCTGGGTGATGGGAGACAGGCCCGATTTTGGTTGGATCGGTGGATAAGTGGGTCTGAACCTTTGATTACTATGGCGACTCGGCGGATACCGGAGGAGGATATTCGAGCTCCAGTGGCGGAGTTCGTCACGACATCAGGAGACTGGTGGTGGGCCAAGTTTGAGGGGTTGCTGCCGGCTAACTCCCTCCTACTCATTGCCGCTGTGCTGCCTCCGAAGCTTTCGTCACGACCTGATCGATTGGTATGGGGTTTTACACCGACCGGAGCTTTCTCCACGCGGACGGCATATGTAGCATTGTCGCGAAGGGACACGGATCAAAGTCGGCAGTTATGGCGAGCAATTTGGAAGGCGCCGGTGCCTCAGCGAGTGAGGCACTTCCTTTGGCTGGCTACTAGGGACCGCTTGCTTACAAATATGGAGCGGGCTCGTCGGCATTTGGTTGAGAATGACGCGTGTGGTTTTTGTGGTCAACCCGAATCGACGACTCATGTGCTGCGGGATTGTGACATGGCGCGAAAATTGTGGATGGAGTTGATTCCAAACTCGGGTAGACAGAAATTCTTCGCACAGGATGTTCGCACGTGGATGTGGGCGAATGTGGTGGAGCATTATAATGTCGTGCTTGAAAAATGGGATATCATTTTTCCCATCGCATGCTGGAGGATCTGGGCTTGGCGTAACATGGCCGTTTTTTCGAAGAAAGTCATCCCATTTGAGGCACAAATTATGGATATAAATAACAGAGTGGACACGCAGCTGAGGAGTTTGGAGTTTGCAGTAGGTTTGGGAGCCCAGGACATGTGTTATGAGGAGGTATTTATTCACTGGTCGCCTCCCCCGGTGGGTGGATAAAAGTTAACACGGACGGTGCGCTGTGCACGGTTTCGGGAAGGGGCAGTGCTGGTGGGTTAGCTCGGGATTCAAATGGTCATTGGCTTGGAGGGTTTCTCATGAATGTGGGGTATTGTTCTATAACTGGGGCGGAGTTATGGGGTCTTTTCCAGGGTCTTTATTTGGCTTGGGACATGGGCGAGAGGAATGTATTGGTTGAAGTGGATAACAGTAGTGTCGTGGATATGGTTCTTGGGGATGTTGATAATTTTGGTATTCATGGGGCCATTATACAGGCCATCCGAGAGTTACTCAAGAGGGAGTGGAGCGTTCGTGTTTCCCACATATATCGGGAAGGGAATTTCTCGGCCGACAAGTTAGCGTCGCTTGCTGCGGATGTTCCGGTTGGGCTCCATCGTCTTCATGACCCGCCACAAGATCTTGGTCATTGGTTGAACTATGACATTCTAGGGGTGGCTCGTCCACGTCGCGTGGTGTCTCAGTGATCGTTAGGCTTCGNAAAAAAAAAAAAAAAAAAATCTTGACTTATTTAAAGAATAATATAAATGACAATATAAATATGTATTTGTGTTTACAAAAATCGGCCTGTCACTATACAAAGGCTTACAGCGTAAATTACACACTTGGAACAAGTTTAGTAATTGTATTATATCAAATTCTGTACCCTTCATTAAAATAGCGCAATTTAATCTGTGGGCAGCACATATATAGAGCAAGTGGACGGGATGAATATATAAAATGTTGCAGCTGTAATATGAGGCACACAGTTGGGACAGAGAAGAATTCAACTTGAAACAGTATGTACTGTACGTCTCCTTCAGCAATATCACACCGCATGACCTTCTTGTCTTGTCCGCTTTCATACTTCATCAATTTTCATAAAATGTGAACCAACATGAATACCTCTATACCTTAAAAGAGCATTTTATAAATTTTATTTTTCAATTTTCAATATAGCACATCACCAAAAACTTATCTTTATTGAATAAAAACATGTAAATAAAAGTTGGAAAAAGTACACTTTCAAATATAATTGCAAAGAGAGGTGTTAAGGGAGATGGATTTGGCAGATGCCAAAGTCGCAGATGAGAGACTTTGATTTTGAAAAAAGGAACCACGACGCAAATAAAAAAGAACATGTTAAGGTTTCTGAAGAAACGTTTCTAATATGTGCAGGTATCGAGGTCGCACAATTTGTGGTATTTAATGCTGGCACGCCAGCTGGGTGCAAGCAGAGAATTCTTGTACAAGACAAGATAGCTCGTTGAAGAATGGGAGGGGGGAAGTTTGATGATATAGTACCCAGAATAGCTCGGTGAATCGACTATAACGGGTAGCTCGGTC